CCGCGAGAGCTGCACCTGCGCATCCGTCCTCCGGAGGGCAGCAGCTCCCCGCGAAGGAGGCGGGCAGCCTCGGGAGAGGAGTCCGCGTCTTCTTTGGTGTTAATGCGAGGAAAAATACTCGACGAGGGCTCGGGGCTCACAGTCCTCACTCACCTCAAGATTAAACAGTGAAGCGAGTCACCTCTCACACGTGGACACCCTAATTCATAAAGCCAGGGCCCTCAGTTCCTCTTGGGACTCAGCTACCAGGGACTCAGCTGGGTCCGCGCCTGCAGATGGTGGCTTGGGGCGTCGGTGCCATCCTGCCCCAATCGGCTCGCCTCAGCTTCCAGCAATGGACCATTATAATTATAAAAGAATCCTTGGGATTCAGGTCTGAAGACATACAAAAAAGATCAGAGAGAGAGAGAGAGAGAGAGAGAGAGAGAGAGAGAGAGAGAGAGAGAACTTATTGTATTTACAGCGTGATTCCTTTTTGGGAAAACATACCTAAAGACATTTAGAAAAGACATTTCTGAACATCACAACCAAAATCTCAACTGCAGTTTCCTTGTATAGTGAGTTACAATGGTTTTTATTTTCCTCTCTATATTATTCTGTATTTTCAAATTTTCCACACTGAACATTAAGGTATATATCATGAGACAGTATGTCAAAGAAAGAATAAACAGGAACGTTAGAGAGACATTAAAAGTGAATTTCAACATTTGAATGGATATTTACATATGGATAGCCTCAGTCTTATATTTTCCTGGCTTTTATTTACTAATATTTATAGACCCTAAATAACTAGCATAAAGATGTTTGGGATGGATAAGATTTCAGGACCAAACAGTAGTAATGCTGACAAAACAGGGATGAAGTGCAGTGAATGAACACAAACTTATTATTTCAGGGCGACTGAGCAAATATCTGTGGCCAGATCTATCTCCTTTTCCTCTTGTCCAACGAAGCAGCCATCGAGGAATGCATAAATTGCCTCGTGAAAGAGTTCCGGACTCTGGGAGGAGGGCACCACGCTGGCCATCTTTCCTGTCCTCTTACCGAGCTCAGAAATCCTTCTGTAATACTCCAAATCCCTGCCTTGGGAGACGGGGCCCTCCGGACCTGTGCCTCAAATGCTTTTCCCCTTTTCCTTTCCTGGAGAATTTCTGCTCAGAACTCAATATTCACTCAAATCACGTCTCCTGCTTCTGTGAGGGCCATGTGGCACTGCCATCTGGAAGCTCTGAGCAGGGACTCTGTTGTCACTGAGCCCAGAGTCCAATCCCACCTCCCCTCCTAACTCTTGCTTTTGACCTCTCAGCCAGTTTATCTCGCCTGTGAGCCTCCACTTTCTCACTGCCAAACGGACTTTGGAGATGTGATCCTATGGAGCAGGCCTTCGGCTCAACGCTGGTGCACAGTGAATAGGAAACAAATGGTGACTACGATGTCACTATTTGTCCTATCAGTGCTTTCAATGCTACAGTGCTCTTAAGATGTGATTTAATAGGTCCGTGTTGATGCTTCTAGCAAGGTATTTCTGAAAATTTGCCTAAGTGTGTAGCCGGGCTTGAGAACTATTGTACTTGCCCAGTGGTTCTTCCCTTCATTCTTCATATTCAGTAAGTAATTTATGTCTCTGAAACATATTCACTATTTCTTTTTTTTTATTTTATGTGGTGGGGATTGAAGCCAGTGCCTTTACACTAGGCAACATCCCCAGCCCCTTCTTTGTTTTGTTGTTTTAAATTATAAAACAGGGTCTTGCTACCTACATCTCTAAGTTGCCTGAGCTGGACTCAAACTTGAGATCCTCATCCCTTAGCCTCCCATGGGATGGCATGGGAATTACAGGCATGCACCACCACACCCAGCTGTTCTCTACTGTTCTTGCTATGAAAATCCTAGTGCACATAATACTTACAGTCATCCACCCAAACAGCTACCTGCCCATCTATCTGTCCACCTATTCATCCATCCCTCCTTCCATCCATTTTTCATAAGTTTTATAACCCATTTTCAAAAATTTTTGAAGCACTGGGTATGAGACTCAGTGGTACAGTGTTTGCCAGCAAGTGTGGCCCTCGGCACCAAAACAAAACAAGATTCCTCAGCTGGGCAAGGTGGCGCATGCCTGAAACCCCAGCTAACTGAGAACCTGAGGCAAGAGGATCATAAGTTCGAGGTCAGCCTTGGCGACTTAGTGAGATCCTGTCTCAAAATAAAATAAAAATCAGGGTTGGGACTGTAGCTCAGTGGTAGAGTGCTTGCCTAACGTGTGTGAGGCCCTGGGTTTAATCTCCAGCATCATTGGGAAAATTAAAAGCATTAATCAACTAGCGTACTATAAAACTGGATAATTAATATTAAAGAGAATCGAGAGGACTTCCACCAATTGTTCTTACCCAAAGATACATTAGAGTCAGTGGAGAATTTTAGAAAAGCATCAATAACCAAAACTTCAGCCAGAGATTTGAATCCAAAGGATCTGGGGTACACTAGGTTATTCTAATGTCCAGGCAAGGTTAGGAAAACGGAAATGAGGGAGAAAATATTACCAGCAGCTTGATATGAGCTGATGACAACATTTGAATCCCAAATATACCTGCAAAGGCAAAAAGGAGCATATACCATGATAAACATATCTCATTTTCTGACAAAACATTTCCTCCCAGGGCTAGACTCTAAAAGAAAGATATTGTGTATGTCCTAGTAACATTCCCATAGTTAATTTTTCACTAAGTGCTTATGACATGCTAAGTTCTACAATTACAGGAATTAATACCTTTTGATCCTCATAACATGCCTATGAGGTAACTGTATTATTAATCTAATATTTCGGATGAGGACTCAGGCTTTGAGAAGTTAAATAAATTCGGGATTTTTAGTTCTGTCTAACTACAGAACCCTGGTTTGTAACCGTTTCACTGTACTGTCGCTAATGTGAAGACACTGGGTAATGCCTCCAATCAAAGCTGTGCAAAAGACAAAACTATGTGCCATGAAGATTCCTGAAAAATAAAGGCTGAAAGGAAAAGCTTTAAGGGATTTAACAAATGCATTTTTGTGAGGCCTTGAGATGCTATTTTGCTTTCTGGTCATCTATAGGGAGAGCCTGAAATCCCATCTCTTTGGGAAGCTGGGGCTTCTGGAGGAGAGGGTTGTTACATTTCCACTGGGTCCTCTGAAGCACCCTCCTTGGAGCCATGGAGAGGTAAAGGAATGTTTACCTGGGCAGGGGACAGATTGGGATGGGGCCAAAAAGCGGACGTCCTCCTGTGAGTGAAGTCTTTTGGAATCAAGCTCAGCAGGGAGTGGAGGGTGGGTTGGGAAGCCAATGAGGGCCTCCTGTCTGAGGAGTTGGACCTAGGCCACACAAAGAGTGTGGGCTGGACTGGACCCTGGGAGGTTCCTTCACTGAAGAGACACATAAAGGGGTGAAGCTGCCCTAAACCCGGGGTGTGCTTTTGACTTTAGGGTTGGAAAAGAGTGCAGATATTTTGAAAGTGAGGAAGATTGAGCTTGGGTGTGTAGCTCAGTGCTAGAGCACTGGCCTAGCGCGTGAAAGGCCCGGGGTTCAATCCTTAGCATTGAAGAAAAAAGAGAGACAGGAGCTGGGTCATAGGAAATTGGGTTACCCAATAAAGGCTTGGAGAGGAAACACAGTATTTCTTGTTGCGGAATAAAGGCAGCACTGTAGGCTGTGTATGCAGCTCTGAGTGGTCACCCTTCCTTGAAATGTGTTGTCTGGAGACACCTGGAACAGAGTGTCAGCATTCTGATTCATCTGACAGGGACACCACAGAGAGGCCTGTGCCAGGGACACCATAGCCTACTTCACTCTCCCAGTTGTGCCTCATTCTGCCTTTCCAAGTTGGCCCTTCCACCTCATCGATATCTTCCAGACACGTTGGTTGGGTGGGTTTTTTCCTCCACAGATGATCATGGCTCAGATGGAGTCTCTATTCCATATGCCTGACTTCCCTTTGGGATTGTAAGCTCTTTGAAGGAAAGGATTTATGTCTTCAAAAATTTCTCTTCTTGCTAGGGACTTACTGCTACTCACTTGTAGTTTACCCTGTGTATTTCTCAGAATAGCACCAGCCACAATGAAATATTTAAAAGGTTTTCGTTTTTTTTTAAATTGAGATCTTGACCATCTCAGAGCCGGAAATTATCTTGAGGTGTGTGTGTGTCTGTGTGTGTGTGTGTGTGTGTGTGTGTGTGTATGTGTGTGTGTGTTTAAAATAATATTAATGATAAAGCCTCATTCTGACCTGGTGGATTGGAGTTCAAAAGGTCTGAGTTTAATGCCAGGCCTGGCACTTATATTAACTGTGCGGGCTTGGGCAGGACAATGACAGCTACAGTTTCCTGTAAGAGAAAGACGATTATGGGGCCTCACAATGGTTGAGAGGATCAAGCTACATGCCCAAAGCAAATGGTCTAATGCAGTAAATGGCTGTCATTGGCATTCAATAAATATCTTTGTCACTGCAAAAATTAAAATTTCTGTCATGTTTCATTTCTATTTTCTCTTTTATCTGAATCAGAAAGATATTTCCAAATTAGCTTTGTACTCTTGGAGGTTAGATATTTTCTTTTTTTTTTTGGTACCAGGGATCGAACTCAGGACCTTGGGCTTTCGAGGCAGATGGTGGCACCTCTGGGCTAAATCCCCAGCCTGATATTTTCTGATAGTAGGAAGTTGGTAGATAGCCTATTGACCAAGTTGTTTTTCTTCTTTGGTAATTATCTAGATTATAAAACCAATAATAAACAATCTAATTATTCCTAGTTTTGGCAGGATTCAAGGGAGGCAAGGGAGGGAGGCCTTAGAAGCATGAGACATTAACCCTCCCTTTATCCCCCACGATGATGCCGGTGGTAAGCAGGTCCCATCCAAGGATTCCTGCCTCAGTTAGCGTGCAGAGTTGGGCTATGAGCTTCAGTGGCAGAAGTGGTAATCAGCTGGGATTTGCCACAAGGTGGCTCTGGCTGAAACGAAACCGCTCTGAATTACCCAAGTCTGAACTTTATTTCACCCAGGAATTCAGTGATAAAACAACATTCTTCTCTATTTAAATTTGATCCAACGTTTCTTCTTGTCTCCACTCAAGGCTGTTGGCAGAGGTTGCTGGGGGCTACGGTGCCAGGCGTGAAGACTCCGCCCTCCGCTCAAGAGACCTCGCTCTTGGGTGTTGGCTCTGCCCCTGACTTTGGGAGTCGGCCCTTATACTCGCAGGACTTTAGTTGCCTCTGTAAGTACAGTAAAACTCTGTTAATTTGACATTATTGTTCCATTTAAAAAGAGTGAAACAGCCAGTTGACAAGGTTAGACTTTTTCCTGATATTATCAGTTCTTTATTTAAAGTCTCAACAGTGTTTGAAATGAATTAAGAACTCAGAGCTCAAATGCATCTAATAAAGTGAAATAGCAGTGACACTCACAGTAGGCAGCTGTGAAAAGTCCTATCTTGTTTCCCCAGGTTGAAGTACAGTGTGGGTTATAAAATATATGCTTTCCTTGCCCTGAGGCAATGAAAAGAGCATTAGTCTCTTTCATGATTTTAAAGTGAGGTAAAGAGGAATTTCCGGGCCGGGGATTTAGCTCAGTGGTTTCACCGCCTGCTGCGCAAGTGCAAGGACCCGAGTTTGATCCCCAGTACCAAAAAAAAAGAGGAATTTCCTCATTAAATTTCTGAACAAAGTTTTCATCACATATTTCCTTGTCAATTATAAAAAAAATGTTGCCTCAGCAAGTCTGCTTTGTTTTGTTTTGTTTTTTTGAGACAGGGGCTCGCTGTGTAATTCAGGCTGGCCTTGAGCTCACTATGTAGCCCAGGCTGGTCTCAAACTCGCAGCAATCCTTCTGCCTCAGCCTCCTGGGTGCTGAGATTACAGGTGTGCACCACTATGCCCAGTGCAAGTCTGCCTTTATATCACTTCCTGTGTTTTCCATCCTTATCATTAAACTCAGAGCTTCTGAAGACTAAAGATTACTCAATCTAACAGCAAAAATAAACCCAAAACTCCTGTTTGAAACCCTTGCTGCAAAGAATACTTAATGAGTAAACAGAAATTATTGACTTGTGAGAAACACCCTTATTTAGATAAGAAATGACCAGAATAACTTGGGCAAGTAGGAGTACCTATTTGACATAAGTAGCCCATTCTGGAAACAGAAAGTCAATTAATTTGCTTCCTCCTTTCCTTCCCTTTGGCCAACCTGTCTTTCTTTCTTGTTAGTCATAGTTATTCATCTATCTGGAAGTTTTTATATATTTTTATCCCATTAATAAATTCAGCACTCAGTCTCTTGACTTCCCTTATTTTCACACACACTTAGGGACCAGGTGCCACAGTTTATTCAGAATGGCAAGAATCTTTGCATGAAAACTGACAGCATACATTTTAAGGTACACATCCATTATCAGAGAAGCAAATTGCAGTGGGCCATAAGTTTGTCCATTTTCTATGCTAGTTTAGAAAACTTGTGAGGAAGGACTGAGAAAGGACTTAGCACTCTTGTACTCAGTTTTATGAAGTCCATAGAGATTGGTGGTGTCCCTGTTGGGAATCTCACCACTTCTCTCTAGGCTGTTCTGAAACGTCATGGGTTTTGGTGTCTCATACCAGGATATTTGTGTTTGGACAATGGGGAAAAGGGTGATGAAGTGTTAAGGAAATATCATGGCTGCGTAAGTTAATCAAGAGCATCAAAGAGATCAAAATCATGAAATCCAACCACTTGCATGATTGGATTCTTTCTATCAACTGGCTTCCAGGGACGTCCAGGACATTTGGGGGAGGTTGTTTCTGGTAAATCAGGTATCAGTTTAAAGGAAAGGCTATCTGGTTCTATCAGGATATCTGGGATCCAATCATCATCATTCTCTGAGGGAGCTGGTGGCATGGTAGGCATCACAGCTTCAATGAGATCTGAGTCCTGAAATCCAGAAAAGGTAACTGCTACACCTGGCTGAGCTAGGAAAGGGGTGGGTGTTGGCCCTTCTGTCTTCTCGTCTGTCTGGGAAGAAGATGTAGTACTATCTTCAGAAGAGCTTGCCACATGCTCTGTTCTCCGATCATTGTGCTTCCCACTGCTTTTGTCTTTCTGTTTTCCATGGCCATGACCATGCTTACGCCTGTTTTTATGTCCATGGTCAAGGCCATGTCCTCTTTGGTGTTTAAGATCATAGTCAAGTTCAGGTTGAGATCCATGACCAAGACCATATTGCTGCTGGTGACCATGGCCAAGACCATGTTGTTTTTGATGTCCATGGCCAAGGCCATGCTTATATTTATGGCCATGGCCAAGCCCATGTTTTGTTTGCTTTTCATGGCCCCAGCCATGCCCAGGAGTGGGCTCTTGTTCTTTTTCTGGATCCTGCTCTTCATCTTGTACAGGTGCCTTGGAAGTGTAAGGTGAACTTACAGTTGTTTCTTCTGTTCTCTGTATTTGTACTGTTCGGAAAGGTGAAAAACCTGGAGGCCTTTTCATCAATGTCATCTAAACAGGAAATATTAAGATGAATGCATTACTGCAAAAACCATGCTATCAGTGAAGAAATGCTATCTTCATTTATGATAGGACAGGTCTTTGCCAGATCTTAAATAGTATATTAATCTTCCAGAAAGGATGAATAATATTTTCTATTTTGATCAATCTTAAAATTTGTGGACATTGATTGTTGTTCTTAATCATACTCTAAAATAAGCTGGAGAGCTTTATCTTCATCTGGAAAAATTGAGTGAGCTGCATAATCTCAAGGGTTCATATCCCATAAACCTATGATTATGTAAGTCCATGGCACACTATTTACTAATTGTTACTATTTCTATTACTGTTACCATTATTGCCTTTGTCCTAAAAAGCCATGGGTGTCTTTATGAGTGAAATGTATAGGGAGCATGTACCCATGGTCACTTTGTTGGGCTGAAACACATTAGGACACATTCACGAGCTTGAAATGCAACCTTTGTGTAATGTTGTGTTAGATTATTTACATGCATACGCATGACAAGAACCTAAATCAGAAAAGGGGAGAAGAGGCAACTTGTACTGAAGATATGGATTTGTGGATTATTGCAACCCACACTTTCATTACCTGTGAGAACATAATAGTTGTAAGACAGTGTTCAGTGCTCAAGCAATATGGGCTTTGGAGTTAAGCCAGACCCTGCTAGTAACCTATATTATGATGAAAAGGATGAGCATGGATTTGAACTACACTTGCTTCAGAACACCACTTACTAGCTTCACTTTTCTGAAAAATAAGATTAATAATAGTGCCTGCCTCACAGGGTTATAGGAAGGATGAATGGAAAATGTAGGGAAAGCTTTCTGTACAGTGCCTGGGGTAGATAAAGTACTTAAAAATGGCATTTTCTCTGAGACTTTAGAGTCTAATTTTTAGTGTCTCATCTTTGACCATGGAGAAAGTGCTCCCAGAGTTCTTTTAAGGCTTAAAAAGATGACGCAAACTAATGCTTTTCAGACTTAAAACATATGTATGACCTCGGGGATCTTTTAAAAATGCAGATTCTGATTCAGTAAATATTGGACAAACATTTCTCACAAAGCTCAGAGCACTGTGGAGGCCGTATCTGCCCCAGGCACACTGGGAAGGTGAGGAACCAGTGGGGACTTTTTTGTTTTTGTTTTTGTTTTTGGGTACTGGGGATTGAATTCAGGTCCTTGTGCTTACAAGGCAGACAGTGGAACCACTGAGCTAAATCCCCAGCCCCAAATATTTAACTTTTCTGAGCTTCAGTTTCTCCAACCGTAACATGGCATGGTAGTTGTCTCTCATAGGATTGGATTTTTTGTTTTTGGTACCAGGGATTGAACTCGGGTCCTTGAGCTTGCAAGGCAGGCGCCGGACTCACTAAGCTAAATTCCCCGCCCTAGGAACCAGTGTTAGCCCCTCGGAGTAACTACCTTGGGTGCTGCCAGCCCATTGAAGTTCCAGGCACTGAGTGTATGAGAAGTGATCAAGAGAATTGGTGCTCTCCTTTCCAGCCATAAAAAAAAGAGACCGGGGACTGAGGATGTTGCTCAGTGGTACAATGCTTGTTTCTCATGTGTAAGGCCCTGAGTTCAGTCCCCGGCACCATAAAAAAAAAGACTCAGCACAGAAATATGAGAATTCTCCCCACTTCAAGAAGTCCCCCCCATTTAATTCAGTAACAATTCATTTTCAACTCCAAAATATGACTTCCCAGAAGGAGCAGAATCGACCCCATCCTGACCGTAATTAGAACTGTACCTTTCCCACTGTTTGACAGTTGACTGTAGGGTAGATTTTATTCTCCCAAGGTATCACAAAGACATCAGCATTGCAGGTTAGACGTTGCTGTTCATGAAAACAGAAGCCAAAAGAGAGACAAGTGTTATTCTTCAGATACTTTAACAAGTGATCCTTAAAAATATAAAAGAGGTTTCCAATGGAAAAAAATAGACCAGTGCACCATTACTCACGCCAGGTTTTTTGGTCTCACAGCTTTCAGTTAATTCTTGATTGCTTTCTTTGGAACATGTGGTTTCGCTGGCTATGAACTCAATAGCAAATTTCTTCCCAGCCACTACCTGGAATGTTCATTAGCGTAAAATAAGTGAGTGCTTAATAAATATTTGTATAATAAATTGTATTATTTTCCTCTAAGAAATTTTTTTTTTTGGTACTGGGGATCCAACTTAGGACCTTGTGCCTTTCAGGCAGGTACAGTGCCACTGAGCTAAATCTCCGGTCCGAGGGAGAATCTTAATAGTTTAATTATGTACAATACTGACCAACTTGGAGAGTTACATCACCCAAAAGCACAAATGCTTGGTAACAGAATTTTCACTTTGTATGTATATTTAAAATATTTGGCTGTTGATTGATCCTATTTCCTTTTCTAAATGGAAAAAAGCAGGATATAATTTTTTTCTAAATTGTATTGTTCAAGAGCTGCAAAAGGCATTAGTAATTCAAGGGTCCAAATTAAAATAGAATCAGAGAAGTAGGAAGAAAACCTTAACTGTTTTCCTTAAATATGCCTTGTTTTCCTGCCAAATCTTGAATCAGTGAAATACTGAGTTAGCACTACTATAGAAATTGTGTAAGCCAAGCATGGTGGTGCACACTTGTAATCCCAGCACTCGGGAGGCTGAGGCAGGAGGATCACTGTAAGTTCAAGGCCAGCCTGAACTGCATAGCAGGACTTGAAAGAAAGAAAGAAAGAAAGAAAGAAAGAAATTGTATGGATGAAATTATACAAGTAGGAAAAATATTTGGATTTTCTATTGATTCTTTTACTTTTTTTTTTTTGGTATCGGGGATCGAACTTGGGTCCCTGCACTTGGGAGCAGGCGCCAGAACCACTGAGCTAAATCCCTGGCCCTCTTTTACTTTTTTAATATTAAAAAAACTACTTCAATGTCTAAGCACAGTTTTAATCACAGCACAATGTTGTCTTCCATTAAACATTTTGGACCAAATTTCTTGACCATATTATTTGTAATTTCTTTTAAAATATGTGTGTATATAATCTTTTGTAGCTATTAAAAGAACCTATGCTATTGTAAGAGCTACCTATTAAAAGAACATTTTTATTGATCTGGGGGAACAGCCATAATGTCAACAAAGGATAGCTACTAGGTGATAGTGCAGTGCAGACACTCTGACCCTTTATGCTTGAGATACTTTAACAAGTGATCCTTAAAATGTGAAATAGATTTCCAGGGAAAGATGTGACAGGAGATGTGGCAGAGAGGAGAGCCCTATCTTATCTGGAATTGTTTTGCTGGGTAAGTATGGCTATGCTTTTAAAATGAACTTACTCTTAACTTTTAAAAGTCTAAGCAGGTGTGGAAGTTGGGGAGGGAGATTGTTAGAGGGCTTGAGAGTCCATACTTTGGAGCTTATGAATTCTCTTCCTCCTTTCATGTATTTTATTTTATTTATTTTTGGGGGGGGTACTGGGGATCGAACTTAGGTCCTTGCGCTTGCGCAGCAGGCGGCGAAACCACTGAGCTAAATCCCTGACCCCTTTTCATGTATTTTAAATCAATCATTTTCTTTTGATATTAAAGTTTGCCAATGTAATGTCACCTAAGAAAAGTGACACCTTGTGTTGCAAACCACAGCTGATGGCTTAACTCTATTCAGAGCCCAGAAAGGAGAAATTAGGTAGACCTAACAGTATCTTCCATTCTAGGGCTGAAAGATCATGTCCCTATTGCCATTTTTATCAGGTGTCATTCTTATCAGAAGTTGTCCCAGCTCAGACCCATCTTCCTCAAGTTTAAATCATTTATTTATTTATTTATTTATTTATTTTATATATGGTGTGGGGGGTTACTGGGGATTGAACTCAGGACCTTGTGCTTTCGAGGCAGGCGCTGGAAACACTGAGCTAAATCCCCGGCCCCCTCAAGTTTTTTTTAAAGCAGAGAACAGCCTGTATAAATATAAACTAATATAATTTCCAAATGCATTTTAAAAAATAAAGAGATTAACTGGAAAAATATAAATATTCATCAGAACTTAGGATGTAGGAGGCCTTTCTTAGGCAAAAAGTAGGAGACAGTGCTTACATTTGACTAGACAAAAATGAAATCTGATTCTCAAAAATTACAATAAGCAAGGTAAAAGGCAAACTGGAAATATTATGATGCAGGATCAATATTCTTGTGCATATAAAGCCCAATACTAAAAAATGGACAAAGGACCCGAGTGGGTATCTGACAAGAAGTTAAAATGGGCCTCGAGGGTGAAAACAAGGCTCAGTTTTACTAGCCAAAGACAAACACATGAGACAGCAGTGTGGCATCCTTTTTAATTTTCTGTGTTGCCAAGGATGGAAAACAGTGGCTGTACCTGGTGTTCATCAGGTGTGGAAAACACACAGCCTGAATCATAGCTGGTAGGAGTAGAATTCAAATCAAGGTCCTCGACTGATTCTATACTCAGTTGGTGTGAATATAAACCAGCACCATGCAAATAGTGTGGCAATTTGGACATTTTCATCAGAAGTCAGATGATGCATATTTCAAGGACTTGTTAAAGGAAAGATTCCCAAACATGCACGCATAGATTTTTGATGTTTACCCATCTGAGCAGAGGCAGGGACAATATCCACCGGCTCAGGCCCAGCCCCATGGGAGCACAGCAAAAGAAACAGCACAGGACAGACATCCTGCTTGCCAATGTGAAAATGGAAGATTCAGAAAGTGTGTAGTCCCCGCCTGGCACCTACTTGGGGTTGGGTGTGCGTCCACACAGTATTCAACGCGCAAACCCCAGGCAAGACAATAACACAAATCTGTGGGAGCTTGACAAACTGGTCGTTTGGTGATTGGTTTTTAGTAGATTTATCATATGGTTAATTCTTTCCTGTAAATTGGCTGCTTCTACCAAGGCTTTGCTGAATGATTATGTCTAAGCAATCAGATTGCTCTTTTAAATGCAAGAATCGGTAAAGATTCATCTGTTTAAAGCAAGTTTGAAATTCTCCCTTAATTCAAATTGATTTAACAACAAACTGAAGGGATGTTCCTAGCATCCTAATATAAGCACCCACATAAATGTTGATTAGTTAATTTACAGAGAGAACTGTAACTGCTCAGAGGTGCTGACGGTCATGTTTGGAAATGAACGGTTTTCTCCTTGACTGCAAATCTCTGACATGCAATATATGGCAGACAATTCCGGCATCATTTAGAAGACAGGAATTTCATGGGACTGCAAATACGTAAAATGGGGAGCAAAGTTGGCATAAACAGGAGTAGCATGAGTTGGGCATGCTGAGGCATGGTTGTAACCCCAGCACTCTGGGAGGCTTAGGCAGGAGGATTGCAAGTTCAAGCTCAGCCTGGGCAACCTAGTGACTTGGTGAGACCTTGTCCCAAAATTAAAATAGAAACCCCGGGGGGGATGTAACTCAACATGAAGGTCCTGGGTTCAGGCAACAGCACCACACACACACACACACACACACACACACACACACACGCACAGGGCATGTGGCAGTGAAATCAGGGAGGAGGTGGTGGTGGTGTCTGAGATGAGAAAGAGCACTTAAGTCATACAGAGACCCATGTTTCACTTGTGAGTTTTTACTTTTTCTTTTTTTGGTACCAGGGATTGAACTCGGGTTCTTGCGCTTATAAGGCAGGTGGCAAAACCATTGAGCTAAATCCCTGCCCCTAGTTGTGATTTTTTTAAAATGAAGTTTGTTTACTCTTTTTGGTTATAAAACTAACACAGGAAATTAGAAAGATGCAAATAATTAGCTTTTTGTGTCATTGTCCAAAACCCATGACTGAATAGCTTGAGACATTCGTCTCTCTTCAGTGTTGCTTTTTTGTACTTGTCTAAACATAACTGAGAACATATTTTACAGACTTTTTTGCATTGAATATTATAACACAAGACATTTCCCACCTCTCCCTAAGATACTTTTAAGTTGCTGCTTAACATTCCATTGTAAGGAGATACCAGGCATTACCTAATTGTTCTAATCATTTTGACAGCTTCACATCTTTTGTTCTTTTAATTAAAACTACAGTGAATATCATTGCTTATAAAGACTTCTATTTTAGATCCCTAGAAATCCAATCACTGAGCTCAAAGTATGAGTTTTTAATTAAGAATTTCCTCACCAGATTGCTGGCTTGCTGTAACAAGTTGGCTCTGGTGTAGTTACTTCTCTCTAGCTTGTTTTTAGGGAGGCCAGTTTTGAGTCTCCAGAGTAGGAGTCTGTCCATAGACATGATGGTCACAGGCTGTTGGAGTTGGTAGAGATTTGGACTCTTTTTGTTTCTTTGTTGTGGTACTAGAAATTGAACTCAGGGCCTTCAGACTGCTACATCTCCAGCCCTTTTAATTTTGTTTAATTTTCAGCCAAGGTCTCGCTAAGTTGCTAAATTACCCAAGCTGAACTTAAACTTGAAATCCTCCTCCTCCAGTCTCCCCAAGTGCTGGCATTACAGATGTGTGCCACCACCTCCTGGGCTCTTGTTTTACAAAAGCTCAGGACTTTGAATGGCTATCAGAGGTCACCCAGGATACAGTGACAGATGCTGAGGTAGAGTTGGTCTCCCGACTCCACATGAGGGACTCCTTATCCTCTACTGACCCAGCATGAGAAGAGACATGAATGCCCAGAGGAATATTTGTAAGAGGGAAGAGCATCCCAGGCAGAGGGGAAAGGAGGAGCAGTAACATGGAGATAATAGAGACAAGAGTGTGGAAAGCCTAAAGACCAGCACGCCTGTGATCCCAGCACTGGGGAGGCCAAGGCAGGAGGATCCAAAGTTGCAGTCCTGTCTGGGTCATTTAGTGAGAACTTGTCTCAGAATGGAAAAGGGTTGGGGAGGTAGCTCAGTGTGAAGTGTGAAGGCCCTGGGTTCAATTCTGAGAATGAGAGAGAGAGAGAGAGAGAGAGAGAGAGAGAGAGAGAGAGAGAG